TGTGTGCGCTCCATGCTCCATGTGCAGTGGAGTGGCAGCGACTCCAGTTGCAGTTTGTGGATGCCGTTGCTTGCCCCCTCCCCAACGTTCACGACTTTGACAAGAACGCGGCCATCATAGGCCATTATCATGCGCCTCATCAGGCAGCAGGCAGGCAGGCAGCAGCCGATGGCCCCGACATCGTCTCCGTCTAACGCCAAAGTCATTAAACTCGCGTAGAGCAGCGCCTCACTCCACTCCACCCAAACTCCAATTCACCCCCCCCACTCCAGACTCCATCTGTTGTAGGCCCCAAAGCTCGACTAACGACTAATTTGCGCATATGACAGGGCGACATGCGAGTCGTTCTATGGCCCTGTCCCTGTCGCAATGTCAAAACATTGGCAGAGCTAACTCTGGGATCGCTATGTGCCTGCGCTTCTCAGCTCTTCCTGCCTTCCACCACTTTAAGCGGCCATAAACGCTCTCGACTAGGCCCATCAGAGCCATCAGAGGAGCAGCCGTCGGACGTTTATGGGCTTTAGATGATAAGAAATGTGCAATCGCTGCAGGGCCATTCCCGGCCACAAGAACAAATGCCAAAAGTGAAGAGGTTAGGCGACGTAGGCAAGAATAAACCATAAACAAACAAACAAAAAAAAAAACAAAAAACAAAAAAAGAAGCGAAAATGAAAGCGAAAACAATTGCACTTTAAAGTTGGCGAAATGCACAGAAATGCCCTACCCTGGGGGCGGCGTATGAGCAACAAACGAGGCGTTTGGCCAAACAAATCGCCCAATTTGTTGTTCAGTTTTCCATTTTTATTTTCCATGTTTTCCATATTTCCATATTTAATATATGCACTCCCCCAACAGCCATCTAGCCATCAGCTATCCAGCGGTTATGCACATTTGTGTTTCAACTAAATAATAATTGTGCGGCACGCAATGGGGGGGGGGGGAATATTGTTAAATCATTTAGTGAAGAGTGTAGAAAAATCAGTGGGGTCGGGGAGAGCGAAAAGCTTGGAGGGTAAAGAACGGACAGGAGCAGCACTCGCTTAATTGTTAGGTACAAATCATCACGTGTCCAGGGTGCAAGTTGTAGGCGTTGCCAAAAAAATGCCAAGACATGGCATAAATTTAAGAAATACTGACCCTCAAGGAAGATAAAACAGAAGCAGGACACACTTGAAGATATTAAGAGTTAGTTAGACTGAATACAGTATTAGATTTAGAGATTCTTCCTATAATTATCATTAATTGGGACTAATCCCATGCAGAAACCCTCTGTTACAAAACCCTATACATATATCCATTCATTCCATATTTCACTACACTTCAATCTTTCATTTACTGCCCATAAAAAGTATGCAACATTCAATGGCAACCAATTTTCATACCTTAAAAGTTTTCCACCAACAAAACAGCAAACACCATTCCGTGCAGTCTCCTCCTTCGGGTGAAGAGTTTCGCCAAACAGTTAAGCTTAAAGCGAGCAGCGGACATCTGGCATTAGGATGGTTATTGAAGGGGTTTCCAAGGGCTACAGCACAGTGTCGAAATGGTGGGACAGGTGGCTGGAATGGTGGACAGGTGGCTAGTGGCAGGTGCGGGCCTGCGATGATGACGATGCCAATGCACCTTCAGGGCTTAGACTCTAATTAAACACGACAGTGAAAATGTGCCCGCTCTCCACTGCCATTGACACGTGTGTGCGGCAGCAACAATAGCAATGGGGTAACGCCAACGCGAATGGGTAGCGAATGGGTTGGGGAGAACGCGAACCGAACAATAGCCAGAGTCAGAGCCAGCACCATGTCCAAGCGGATGCAGTGCAGCCGATAGGCCGTTAACTCATATACGGGAGTACGTGGCAGCAACGCGAAAAAAAGGCAACAAAAACAAAAATCTGCTTCTGGTGATTTCCTGTTTGCCACCGAGGCCTTCCACTCCTTCCCCTCCTTTCACGCACGTGATTTATGTGCGTGGGTGCGCATTTTAACGCCAAGGATTCTGGTGCCTACAGCCTGGTGCCGGCTCCTCGTCCTCGCCCACACACACACACACACACACAATGGAGGAGGAGAAGGATGGGGCCGTTGCTGGACGAAGCTATTCGTTGGTTGAATGCCACACAGCACAAATTCTGATGGCAACTTTATTGAAAATCGCATATTTTATGTGTGAGGGAGGCAGTATATACTGCTGGCACTCGGTGCTTGGGCAATTCAATCAGGATATAATTTTATGCGTAACTTAAACACAGAGGATATGTTAATATGGCCGGGCAGCAGGACACACACAGGACATGGGACATGGGACACGGAATACGGGGAAAAATCGTCGCACTTTACGCTTGAAATAACAAAATGTAGTTGTATGTGTAAATACCGTTTGGGGGCATATGGTGTGTGTATGTGTGTGTGTGTGTGTGTTTATCCTGCTGCGTGCGTGCATTTGTGTGTGTGTTTGTTTGCGTGATTAATTAATTGTATTTAAAGGATAATTGCCTCTAGCTTTCATTTGATTAAATTTCCATAGCAACTCTCTGTCTGCTATGGACAGAGGCAGACAGAGAGCGAAGAGCAGCATAATAAACCTCGGGTCAATGCTCAGGACAGGTGGCTTCCTGGCAACAGATTACCCGAACAGATCCACGCCCAAAACATGCATTCTCTTCACTTAAATAATAAATTTAAGTGAATTTAAAGCACGCACAGAAAACTGTTTAAGCGCTCAAAAGTAGGCCAACCAGTCGAGGGAAAACTCCTGTGAAAATATTTAACTGAATTTTTATTATTATTTATCCATAAATAATCGAACCATCTGTCTATCTATCCATCTATCTCTCTATCTGTCAAACCATTTATCTGTAGGGATATCTATCCATCTATTTATACGTACATATGTACATATATCTTTCCATCTATCTCCCATCACGGATCGTATAATGATTATGAAATAAAAAATGAATAATTTATAAATTCTTCTTTTTTTTTGCACAAAGTTGACTTTTAACAACATTTTTAGCAATTGATTAATTGAATCCACACAGCGATGATATTCCATCAATTGTTAGCCACAATTTTTTATTTATATTTTTTGCTGCTGGCTTTCTTTTTTCAATAATATTAATTTTTGCCACATTAATGTGAGGGGCTAATATGCGCAAATTAAATGCTGTTGATGCTATTTCTGTTACGTGACTGTTGGGTTGGTTGGTTGGTTGGGTGACTGTTTGGCATGTGATGCTTTAATTATGGCCATTTTTTTCTATGACCACAAGATAGATTTGTTCGTTAACACGCCGAGAAGTTGACGTGTCAACTGTCTGGCTAACGGAGCACTCCACGACCCGGGCCCGCTCCACCAAAACCTTCTGTTGCCACCACTGCGTGCCATTTCCTGTTCCTGCATAATCGATGGCAGACGGGCCACACATTTTTTTCCTCTGGCCAACACGCACAAAAACAGGCAACAGAGAGAGAGAGAGAGAGAGAGAGAGTGAGAGGCGACAGACCGGGCCAAAACTTTTATGAAACAAAATACGTAAATCTCTTTAGTTGGCTAATAATTATGACATTAAGCGGCGATGTGGCTTGAATTTTAATTGGCATTCCACTGACTTTTGTATTTGTTATGGCAGCATTATCGCTGTTATACCCCTCTCTGCTCCTGCTGCTATTTTTATGTTTATTAATAAATAATATACAAATTGTTTCTTGCCCTCAACAGGGGCCGGGTGTCTTTGGCTAATTGGGGGCGAGAGATTACCACAGCTTTACATGTGTTTTGGCGGAGGGGTTCAACAATGATTGTGGGTTGACAGAAGCTCTAAAATGTTTCACATACAAAAAAAGAACAGCGAAAGGTTATATGTCCAAGTTCATATCTGAAACGATTTATCTATCTATCTTTGGGTTCCAATCCACATCAAAAGATAATCCCAGTATGAGAGCTCTAGTTTCTGCTCAATTTCCCATCAAGCCATGCCTTGACCCAAATCGTTGGGGTTGCATAAGGTCCCCCCCATTAACCAACTCCAAACGAACATGTAAATTAAGGTTAACACTAATTCACATTTCGATTTGCACTTTTCAAGTGCCGTAACGCCCATAAAAATTACGATATGACGATGTCTACTATGGGCCGCCACAAAGAGACGCACGCAAAAAAAAACACACACACACACAGAAAAACCGTTCCAAAAATCACAAATTGACCGCAATCTGTTTTAGCTCAAGTTGATGCCGAAAAACATGTCTCTCCACTCTTCCCTACACTTAACACTCTTCCCCTGAATATACCCCTACACTCTTTTCCCCCTACTTCACATCACAATTCCACTTTTTTTATGACCACATGAAAATTAAATTAAAGCTCTGTGAAAATTAAGGTTTTTTTCTTTCCTGTTGGCCATCTTTCCGTCTGCGTCTTAGATAAGCGATTCGCTTTGTTTGCCCTTCACACGCATGAATCCGTCAAAAGACTTGGCCAAATGCATTTAAAAAGGGCGGAAGAAAGGGTGTCTTCTAAAGGCGAAGCTTCAGATACCCTTTCAGCTCAATCTAAGCTGTGAAATGTCTTCGAAATTAAAGATCCATTTTCTTGAGTGGAAACTGCAAAAGCCAAATCATGATAGAGAGTATCTAAAATCGGGTAACAACAATTCAGAGAGCACTAAAGAAACAACGAAATTGGTAACAACATCATTGGCCATTTCCGTGCGATTGTCTCTTGCTACTGTTGCTGGTGGCTTCTGCTGATAGCCATCTAAGCCAAAATGTTGCAATGCCAGCAGTTACAGCAGCAGCAGCAGCAGCAGCATTAACATTAACAACAAAAGCAACCACTATGGCAAACAACACAGTGACAACAACTGAATAAAGTTATTAGCGCATTTATCCGAGGCAACGGACGTGGCACACTCCCAACCCTCCTACCATGCCCACGTCTCGCCCAACAGCAACAGCAAAAACAACAACAACAACTGTGAATGCAATTTCCATTTTAATTACCTTCAAAAGGCAGCAGTACAGCAGGCTAGAGGCAGACGCTCGGCAGACATTTGGCCAAATGACGCCAGCAGTGGTGGTGGCGCATGCGTCGTGATGCATAGTAACAACTGCAGCAGCAGCAGCAGCAGCAGCGGCAGCCACAGTCCAGGCAACACCAACGACAGTAGCTGCCTCAACCAGCTCAACAATGGCAGAAACAACAAAAGCAACAGCAAACAAAAAAAACTGCAAAATTAGTCACACATTTCGTGCATCGTTTAAAATACAAATGCACATGACGAGGGGCAAAAGGAAACTTTTGAAATTACCTTTACTTTTGACGACTTTTTTTCAACCCAAAATGAAGAATTTACATTGCAAAATTTAGACTTGGGATACAGTTCAGAGCAGATTTAATTTTATATAAGGATTCAACAAAGAGAAATTTTGGTTTAATCCTAGACTTATTTTCCTATTCCCAACAACTATTCAACCCACCCTCGCACGTACACATGCAGTCGCACTACAACTTGTCGTTCGTCGTGATATTAAAAATTCGAATTAAAATTCGACTTTGCTTTTGCTTTCGTTGTCTTTTTTTCTGTTTTTGTTTTGCTTATCTCTTCCCCCTCCCTTGTTGTTGTTTCGCTCCCTAGTTATGGTTGCTGATGTTGTTGTTGTTGTTGCTATTATTATTACTGGGAGACACTTGTCGTTAGCTACCTTTTGCTCTGCTTCTCTCTCTCGCTCACGTGTTGTTGCTCTGCCACTGCTTTTGCTCACTTTTTCTGTGCATTTTCTGCATAAATATTTCAACACTTTCGCTTTTGTTTTGTGTCACACACACACACGGATAAAATTGTTTTAATTATTCCCAACGTGAGTGCTGAGCGACCTCTTCATCACCGCTCCCCTCCCCCCACCCACTGCACAATGTAGTTGCTGTGCATTTTAATTGCATTTTTATTTAATTTTCCCCCCTCTATTTTCTGCATCTAATTTGTCGTCATCTTTTGCATTGTCTCTCATTCGCATTGTTGTAAATTTTGTAATATTTTTTTGGAATTTTCGCACTCACGAATTCCCACGCACATTTTTCGCAGATATATTGTTGCTATTTTAATGCCTTTTATTTTTGTTATTTTCGTTGGTTTGCGTAATTGACAACAACAACAACAAAATCAAAACAAATAATAAACATAATTTCATCATTTTCATTGCAATTGTCTTTGTATTACAGTTACTCGTAGACGTCATGAAGACTTTTTGTGCCTTTTGTCAGAATTAATTCATGCAAATTATAACAGTTCATTGAACGAACGATAGAGAGGTAAGTTGCATCATTTGCCGAGAGATACTCGCATTACATCATTAGCATTTTGAAGTAGAATGGAATATAATGATTATTGCATGATGGAATGGAGAGCAAGAATAGAATTTTGCTTAAATTAGTGGGAAATCATCAGAATTGGAATTGGCATAGAAGCTGGGAAAATAATTGTAGGCAATACAGTAGGAGTCACCAAAGGTTGAGTCTAACCAAAAAAAATGCAATTAGTATAATTACTAGATTAGGTATTGGGTTTCTGTGGGTTTTCGTAGAAGGAAAGGTGGGAGCCCTTGCTGCAATTCTCTGACAAATACCCAACTACCCGTACTTGTACCTTCCGCTCCACATCACGTATCAGATATGTACATATGTATGTTTCTCGACAGACCACACGCTCATCCGCTCTGTTTTGTGTTCCACCCCGAGACCTTCCTCGCCAGTCAGACCATCAATCGCTATGCGGCTTCCGTTGCGTCTGCGCAATTCTACGAGTAGTGACCCAATTTCGAATTGATTTCCAAATCCATTCATTGTTTGCCTGTTGCCGATTGTGTCTGTTAATTTATAGACGCCAGACTTCATACAGTGGGCGGTAGTGCTTTCGATTTGCATACAATATACACATCTAAAGATATACCGATTCGTACATATTTCACATGATTTTTTTTGGTTGTCTTCTTTTGTGATTTTTGTTGTTTCTCTACGCTGATCTGTAAGCGGCTTTAATTTTACATTTTGGCAATTATCGAAACGTTTAATTGGCCATTTCAGAGCCGCTTAAAAGTTTGAACTTCACGATGAAAGATCAATCGGTGGCACAAATAAAGCAAACAATTTCATCATTAATATTGACTGACGCCGATGACACCCACAACAATGTCCGATTACACAACAATATGCAAACAAACACACACACACACACAAAATTTAATTAATAAGAGATCAAAAACAACAGCAGAAACCACAACAGAAGCGAGATAAAAAAAACACAGTGCCAGGCGATATAATAAATTAATTAAAGCGATATCAAAAGGGGAATGCGCCGAAAGGAATGGACTGGAGAATCATCAGCGAGAGCCCGCGAATTTTCAATGGTTCTACTGCTCCTCTCCCACCATATTTTTAGCATACTTCTCGCTACCCCCAGCCGCACTCTTTTGCACTCGAATGCTCGCCAAGTAACAGTAACAAATAATTAGCTTGTAAACTAAAAGTCATCATTAATAATGATTACCGCTGGGGATCTTTTGGATTCTGGAGTTTAGAGATGGACATGGGCTGCATTTCGTGCGGGATTCGTGCTTGCAAATGAAAGCGCTGAGCACATTCGGTCTCCCAGATTCCATCGTGCCTTGGAAAGCTTTGCACGAGAGCATCTCTACGTAGTCTGCTCTCTCCGCAACAGCCTTTGGCTGTGCCCCTCCTCACCCCATTCTTCTGCTCTCGTTCTTCTGTTTTTGCTTCTTGTGTGTGTGTGTGTGTGTGTGTGTGGGGGTGCCTGGCAGATGCCGGCATAAACGTCAACATAATTAAGTGAGCGACTGCTTCTGCTTCTTTTCCTCCTCCACCTACTTCTTATACTAGCTCCTCCCACCACTTTTTCTTCAGTCATCGACTTTTTGTACGCTTCTGCGATTTATTTCGCATTAACGTTAAATATTGCTTCCTAATTAACCGCAGCCAGCGGCCGCGTGGTGAGGGGGTGGAGAGAGAAACTTCTCTAAACGAGGCGCTATAATGACGACCGATACAGTGTATGGGGCGGAGTGTCTATGTATTGGCGGGCTGCTCTGCCCACGACCATCATGATGATGATGATGATGATAATTTCGATGATGGTACGACAGGATGATGATGCGTCAATTTTTGTGGCTGCTAATTAGTAGCCGGAGGCAAAAAAAAAACCCCCGTACCCACCGCTTGCCATTTACAGTTACTGTCAAAAGTTTTCGACTGTGGAATTTTCGGCACATGGCCCTAGAATCTAGAACTGGAACTGGAACTCCCTCTTCTAACTGCGATTTGGCGTGACGCATTACCGTTAAACTGATTTTCGGGTTTGTTACAGTTACAGTTCCGTGTATAGGTTTTTGTGTGTAGGTTCTGCGGTCATCAGCAGCAGCAGCAGGTGGGCGGTGAATTGATTGGGGGGGCTGGTGTGTATGTTGCTGTCTCTCTCTCTCTCTCTCTCTCTGTCTCTCTTTGCTCATATCTCTGATTAGCGGCTAATGAGTGCAAATGGAATTGCGGTTAATTTACTTTTTAATGGAGGGCGTACTCCGAATTAATGGAACGGGGTTACAATGCAGATGATCAGGCTGAATTCATTAGGTTAATTAGGTTCACTATTAACTGTTTACATATGTATGTATAGTGACAATCTAATCTATAAGTGCTAAATAGGCTGTGAGATACGCTGAATCAGGGTCGAAATCGTGTAGAAGTTGTATATTCTATGAAGTGAATTAGACAAAGTGATTTTTTCTTCTAAAAAATAATAAATTAGAAAATAATCATTACATATCTTAGCTTCCTTTCAACGTCATAGAAAATAATCAGTCCAGTTATCCATTTCCTGTCCAATTCTCTGCTTATGCCTATGTCTTAAACCTCTCCTTCAACTGCTCCTTTAATTGCTTCAAAATTATAGTTTTCCCATACATATCGCTACATAACCCCCATCCCCATAAATATCTACATAAATCCATACTGAATCAGAATTAAGCTTCTACCAAGGTTGAATGCAGCGGAGAAACTTCATTGCGGCACTTTGCCGCCTTTCTCCCTTCAAGTGGACAGCAGCTTTTGGCCCCCCTGTCAAGGCCATAAATGATACCCCACACGACAATGCTCTTAGTCCTTTCCTCGAGTGCGATAAAAATTGATATATAATGGATTATCGTTTATTACACGCACGATTACGCCCCTGGTAACCCACCTCCACTCCAGCAGCGCACACACAAACACACACAATGTCCTTGCCAGCGATATGCATATTGTTTTCTTTCACTTTCTTTCCTCTCCTCTACCTTTTTTTCGGTTTGGCATACATTTTAATGAGCCTTGGCATCACCACCGTCGACTCCTCCTTCTTTGGCATAATTTTGCATGTGCATGAAGGACATGAAGGAGAAGAGGTGGAATGGATCGAGAGCAAGAGCAAGAGTAAGAGTCCATTCTTCTCATATGGCTGACAAACAAACGAAACGAAACGAAACGAAACGAAAAGAAGGCATAAATAATCGTACAAAGTATTGCAGGCCATAAATATCGTAGCCCAGGGAGTGGAACGTGCAACGGGCGGGGGGAATGTCAGGAGTTTGTGGGTGAAGATGCTGCTTGCTGGTTGCCGCTACTGCAACAGCGCGCGTCCTCACAGTTCACACAATTTCCCTGCAGCATGAGTCGACAATAAAGAGCCATAATAAAGGCAACATCATGGGGGCAGGCAGGACCAGAAGGCAGAGAGGGCAGCAGGAGCATGAGGACCAGCATCACAGCAACACCAACAATAAACAAGACGCGCAATTTCACCGACTACTGAGAACTTTACGTACTGTGACGTGGCGATGCCACACGTAGGACGTACTCCTACTCCTACTCCTGCTGCTACTGCTACTCCTTTTCCTTCTGCTGGAAACTGCCCTCTTGCAGCCTTAACTCCTGCACTCCTACACTGAGCAAAAATTGAGACCCATCGCTAATGGGGCGTATGCGTAATGGGGAGGACGCGCGCACTTATTAAAACTTAAAGAGGCGTGGCCGCGGACTCATTAGCAACGGAATGGACTTGCTTACCAGGAAATGCGGCGGTGGCGGCGGGAGGAAATTGCCTCCGGCAGTGCGTGCTGCAATCGTTTTGTTCCACTTTTAGTGTCTGCAAGAAGAGTGAAAGAGAGAGAAAGAAGGTTGGAGGTGAGTTGGGTTTGTTTTACTGAGATATTAAATCGTAATTTATATAGTTTAGGCATATCTGAACGGTATAATACGGCAGGATATATTGTGTAAAGTTTTCAGCAAATTTTTCTCTTAGTTTTCCTTTGCTATTCTTTGATTCTCTTTTCGTAACTTTAAAAATTTCCGTAAAATATCCAATCTATAGCCTAGGATCTCGCTATCTCGTTCTGCAGACTGCAGACCTACAGACTGTCACTGTTCGAGAGCGCGCCGCTTGTCCGCTCTCTTCTCTGCTTGGTTTTGTGCCGACGAGCAGCGCAATCAGTTCTGTGCGATCATTGAACATAAAATAAAGTTCTGTTCTTTCTGTTTCCTAGAAAACTCTCCCGTCGATCCCGTTTTATATGCATAAACATCTAATAGTATTTCTAATTAATGTTGAACTTGTAATCTTCACATAAAAAATACAAAAAACACTGCATGCAATTTCCTGTGAGTGGAGGAATTTCTGTTGATAATTTCCCTGTCATAAAATTTCCACTGTTTTTAATATCTTTCAGTGTTCGGTGTGCCCTTGTCTGCCGTCTGCTGTGTCTGCTGTCTGCCTGCTGTGTTATTATTGTTGCTGCTCTTTGGGGCTTGCCCCTTGTTGCTTTCATTTATATTACCCAGGAACCTCTGCCACTGCCATCCCTCGCCTCTTGGTTTGGTTGGCCTTCTTTCTGGGCGCTTTCATTCATGTGCCAGCCTGCCTGCCTGCCTGCCTGCCTGCCTGCCTGCCGCATGCTGCGCACTCATTTACCCTTTAACCAAAACGTTCAACTGCCTCTCTGTCTCCCCTTCTGGCTCTTGCCTCATTTTTGCATATCATTTGCGCTCATCTTGCCCTCCCCCCACCCCTGGGAGGTTCTTCTTCCTCCCCCACACCCCCTTAAGTGCATTACAATGAACTACGTTGGAGCCCTGGACCCAGTCCGCCGTGCCCCGTAGTGACTCGTAAATAAGTTTTATTGTATTTGTGTGTGTGTGTGTGTGTGTATGTGTGCAACACGCCCACGCCTCCAAAAACTAGCCCCACCCCAGGTCCGTTGCAAGTTATCGCTTCCTTTTGTCTTGTTTCGGGGTTCCCCCCCCCCCCCACAATTTCCTTCTTTATTTTTTTTTATTTTGATAATTTAGCCAACGGAGAGCGCGCGCTGCTCGCTCGCCAACGAAGTTGTCTAAATTGTTGGCATACATACTGCTGTTGCATGCCACTGTTGCTGCTGCCACTGCCACTGCCGCTGGGTCCCAGGCAAATGACTACAAGAGTGGAGGCTTAGCAGGAGGACTGTAGACTGTGGACTGTAGCTGTGGAGAGCCTGCCTCTCTTTCGGCTCTGGTTGCCGTCGTCTCAGCTGAATTATGGCATTCCCTAATATGGGGGATAGTAGCTGCTGCTGCTGTTGCTGCCCCACAGACAGTCCTCCGCTCCCCGCCCCTTAACTGCTGCATGTGCCACATCTCTTTCCATCCCCCTTTGTTGCCCAGTTAAGACCAAATGGTCGCAATTGTTGCGCGTTTTATTGTTTTGGGAATAAGTGCGGATTTATAGAAATCTTTTTTTTTCTCCTGTATTTTCACGCTGCCTCCGGCGCTAAGCTAGCCCCCAAAGGGTATATTCCGCGTTGTTTTTTTTTGGGGGGGAGTTAGGTTTAATGCAACATTATTTTAAGTGCAACGCTCATCAAAGTTTTCACGGTAGAGTGAGAGGGGTTGCAGCAGAGAGAAAGAGCGACGCCCAGCCAACCCATCGACAGGCAGCATGACGTGAACTCAATTACGGAATGACTCCCACAGAATGGGGCACAGCACAGGCATGAGGAGGCATGAGGCGGCAGGCAAGGCACAAGAGGAGTCCACAAATTACAAATGCCGCTTTGCATGTAAATGTGCAGCATCAGAATTAATATACACAACTGCAAAACGAGGCACAAGTGGCAGTGGCAGGAAGTGTAAGAAAGATAGCAGTAGCCACAGAAAGAGACACAGAATGAGGCAGGGAAAGAGACAGAGAATGAGGAAAGGAAAGAGATAGAGATGCATAATGGGACAGGGAAAGAGACAGAGAATGGGACAGAGTGAGAGCCAGGGACAGGGCCAGGGACAGGCGCAATAATAACAATGAAAATGCACAGAATGCGCCTTATATAAACGACAACAAATTGCCCATTTGCCACAGAAGAAGGCGATGATCAAAAGAGGAGGGGAAGCAGACCTCTAGCAGATGGAACGGGGGAGGGGGGCCACAGAGTGTGGCACCCAGGAAGAAGTGCACACAGTGCAAACCCATGACATGGTAGGACATTAATTGGCTGCCATGTCATTCTGTTTATGCTCTTCGGACCAGTGACATAACGAGGCCTTGGCCCTGTTCCCGTTCCCATTCCCATTCCCGTTACCGTGCCCCATCCTGTCAGCGGCAGACCATTAAGATCTCGCAACATTAGCTGCCACGTGGAGGCGTCCGGCCAGAAGGATATCACTTTGAAAGGAATATTGATTAATCATCGTAGAGAACGAGTTAGAGAGAGAGAGGAGCAGCAGGAGCAATAAAATGAAGGAAGCGGCAAGCGGAACAGAAGCAGAAGCAGATTGAGAGTGAAAGCGGAGCAGCAAGAGGTGCTATTACATGACATCATACAAAATGAATGAAATCTCACTCTCACTCTTTGATTCTGCCGGATAATTACATTCAGAATTCAAATGGATCTAAATTATACTTTTTGATAATTATATCTACAAAAAAAAGCACTTATTTAATTTCTGATTTACAATGTATAAATGAAGATGGAAGAATAGAAGATTCCATTAAATAAATATAAATTAATTTCCATATTTTAAATGCTAAATAGTCCCATAAATTATCTCAAACTGCAAGTGTATCTAAGCTTCAGTGCTGTGAAGTTAATTTAACTTCATATTTCCCACCCAGTCTATGCATAAGCTTTCATTATATTCTCTTAGATCTCTTAAGCTCTCTTTAAAGTCCTCAAACCATCGACTGAAAAATCATTGGAAAATATTCCCCCCGCCTACAGACAATTCGATAATTGCTTTGCCATCAATCAAAAATCAATGAATGCTCAGGAGGGTCCTCGTACTCCTCTCGCTGCTCACTGCATGGATGGCCCTGACCCGAAAGAAGAGCTTAATATTCCAGTGGATCTAACAGTAGGGTAGGTGCAGGTGCAGGGATGTAGGGATGGGGGCGCCATGTCACATGTCTGGGCAGCAATACGCATACGCCACATGGGACGGGACGGGGCACGGCACGGCCGTCCAGAACAGACAAAAGTCAAGAGCTCTATGGTTTTGGATTTTGGGTTTGGGGTTCTCTGGCTCTACCTCTAGACAGGCGTATTATTAACGCTGCTGCTGCTGCTGTTGCTGCTGCTACTGGCATTTGCAATTTTACGCCGCGCATGTGCCACTTACGTGTTTGGCTGCCACAAAACTCCGCTGCTGCCACTTGGCTGCCGCCGCTGCCATCAGTGACTTCTTGGCCAAGCGCTCCTATCATGTTCAAGTGCCTGGCCCCAAAAAAGACAAAACAAAAAAAACAAAACCATACCAAGAAAAGCGAGTGGCACAAAATGCATAGGGCTTCTGCTGTTGCATTTCCACTTGAGCTAGTCCGCTTCGCCTCGTGCTGGTGCTGGTGTGGGGTGTCACATTCGCCACCGCCAGTCAGTCAGTCAGCCAGCGTCTCACAGTCACAGTCAGAGTCACATTCAGTGGCAAGCAGCAGCAGCGGACTCAGAGTCACATTCAGTGGCAAGCATCACAGCTCTCGGTGTTGCAATTCTTTTGGCATTTTTTTGTGGCATAAAATAAAACGTAAATGAGTAGCAGCCGCAGCTACAGCAGCCGTGGCACGATGCAATCTCCTTTGTGACCGTCTGTCGTATTGAATTCAATGCAGCTTTTCCAGCTGAAACACTGCAGCAACACCTTGAGGTGTTCATTTTCATGCCACTGGCAGAAAATGCGCTTAATTATGCGTCGTTGTTTTTTTTTTAATTTTTGGAGGCCACAAGATGTCTTTTGTGCAACTGGAGCGTGCAACAGCCAAACGGTTTAACTGCAAAAATTGTTTGGAAAATTATTATGGAAAACGCCATCATCATCGTCATCATCGATGATAACTGGAAAGAGTTATGGCCGCAGACAGTTGAAAAAGTCAACAGAAAAAACAAAAAAAAATTCCAGCACCGGCAGGGAATATGAATAAATACTTTATTGAATATTTTTGTGTGCAACTTCTGGTGGTGGTGGTGGTGGTGCTGCTGCTGCTCTGCTGCTGTTGCCCCGTTTTCTGGTAAACCAAAGACCACAACTGACAGGAAACCATTTAAAACTGACCTCAAATGACAACGACAGCGACAGGCAGAGCCCCCCAATCCAGGAGCCAGAGAAGAGCCCTGCAACAGCAGCATCCCATCTCGTACATACAAAATGCAATGGCAATGGCAAAGCCAATGGGCAATGGACATAAAAAACTGAAAACCCCTAGATGGACAGTGGCAAAGAAACGACCCAAAAATGGGTAGCAGCAGCAGCCTAGCCTAGCCCAGCCACAAACAAATTGGCAGCAATTTGAGGACGGACCAGACCGAACCGGATCGGACCGGCCCGGCCCGAAGCCCAACAAAAGGCGACAAAAGCTACAGCGACAGGCACAGGACTTTCGCGGATTGTTTGGTATGAATCATCATGTGCAGCATGCAACAACAGCAACGGGCAGGACAAGAGCTTCTACGCGAAATATAAATAAAAAATCTCCCATAGACTTAACAAGAAAATTTTGATGGAATGAAAAGAAATATAGAATAAAAATCCAACAATTTTTCGATTGATTTATATGTACGTGAAGCCCCCTCCCCATCCTTTAGAAAACCCCTCTACACTCTACAGGGGTACTATGCAAATTGCATGGCT